TTTTTTTTTTTTTTTTTCAGTCGAAAATAAATAGTAGAAATGTAAACGTTTGATGTAAGAGCAAAAAGTCAGGAGCCACTCATTGACAGCACGTCGAGTGTCTCATTATTAATCCTGTCGTCTTTAAAGAAGAAAGGCCGGCTGCGACGCAACTCTCGTCGAGCCGAGAAGTGCGATCTTGCAGGCAGTAAGCACGCGCATATAGTTAGAGCTTTAAGTGTGTGTTTTCCTGTACTAAATTAAGCGATTTTATTTAACCGCCTCCGCGTTCAATGAAGATACCTCTTCTTTCCTACTCACGGGAAGGCGGGAAATTTCCATTCTTCTTGGGGGCGCGACGAGAAGGGACGATTAACGGGAGAATTTCTAATCGCGATGAACAGTGCAGATCTTTTTTTTTTTTTTTTGTTTTTTTTGTTTTGTGTTTTTTGCTGAAAACGCCGCCAGTTAATACCTGTTGCCACTTCCTTCGCGTTGAAAAGCGTTTGCTTTTAAAGTTATGCTTTTTTATCTAGTGTATATAAAAGATCGCGAAAGAAAAGTTTCTCGCTGAGCGAGGAAAAATCTATGTCAGGAGAAAACGTTGTTACGCTCGCGCTACAGTTCGACCGATATCCAGAATGGATATAAAAAAAAAAAACTTGACGCGTCCGACTGGTGAGTCTTTCCTCAAATCTCGATTAATGAAAATCGAATAATCGACTGTGTGAGATCAAAGCGTTCTACTAAAAACTAATTTCCTCACACCGGTAGGATCTTGTTAATTAGAGGATGGCACAGAAATGACTCGGCGAGTCTCTTCCGACTCGCGGCAGATCCGTGAATCATCATTTATTCTCTCTCACTCTCTCTCTCTCTCTCTCTATCTCTCTCGGTCTCTCTCTTTCCACGTTGCCCTTAAAACAGAGTTCTTTATCAACGTTATTCTTCGTGACACTTTTGGTTCGCGAAGTACTGCCGAATGGGTCCGAGAGAAGAAGAGCGGGGAAAAGAAAAAAAAAAGAGATACTCGACGGGAAAACGAAACAGCGACTAAACGAATTTGCGTTCAGCGCCGCTCTCACGGGGAGTTTTGTTTTAAGATGTATCGCACGGCACATTTATCCCAGCCACGAACCTTAATTAAACTTTCTTTCTCAGGGGAGAGAAAGTATATACATAGCGAAAAACATTTCCCTATGTGTGTGTGTGAGGAGAACGGGGGTGGAAGTGAGGAAAGGTGGGTGTGTATGTGAGAATTCTCGTTCTTCCTCTTCTTCTTCTCGTTCGAACAACAGAACAGCTTCTGAAAATCGATCGATTTTTCTTGTGCCGCGCCGCGCGCGCAGGACGTTCGGTTACAGTCTGTTGCGCTAAATCCTGCGACTTGCGCTTTAATCGAATTTCTGTTTTTGTTATCAAACATGAACAAAAAGGAGATGGAAAGTCGTTAATGAGAGAATTAATTCATTGAAACCCAGCTGGTATCTATTTGAGCCGAAGTTAAACTCGAGGAGACACAAAAAAAAACGCAGTATATTTTGCTGAAACTCGTTCGAGGGAGAACCTCGAATAAATGTCTCGAGAAGCGAATCGCACGAATTTCGAATGCGATGCGCGCGTTACTGTTTTTTTATTTTTTTTTATAGATGCAAGTTCCTGTTTTTCCGTCGACGATCTCTATCGTTCGTATTGTGAGCTGCTTTTCTTTCCCGTGATGACACTTTTTTAATCGAAATCAGTCAGACTCTCGCGCCGACGCGAATTGTCAGAATTATACGTTCTGTCGAAATCTGCGTGTATAATCATCGACGTTCGCACATACGAGCGAAAAAATTTGGTTTCTTGTTTTCAAAGTCGCAAAGACTAAATTTGCGGGAAGAAAGGAGGATTTTACACAATACAAACACAACTACTGATATCACAAATACATCGAGAAACATCTTCTGGCAGGAAGTTGGGAAACACACAAATGTTACACAAAATATCACATCGAACTGAAGACGATCTTGCGATCTCGCTGGCGGTTGGCACGCCGTTCGTCAAAGGAAAAGATGCCAAACAGAGACTCGTGTAATAGACTCGTGTGTCAACACTCAAACGGAGGAGAACGCAATACAACACAACGTGTAATATTCAGGATCTACGAGATTTCAAAGCTTGTAGGAATATTGAGGAAAAAAACAAAACAAATGGCGTTACATACGGAGGGAGAGAGGGAGGGAGGGGACAATTTGGTGGAAAAACAAATTGTCATTCAAGACACGCGCGAATCATTTGGCAAACGAACTGAACCTTCTCGCACGGCACGGCAAGAATCAAAGACGGTGATTGCTTCCGAGACGTGTGTTTTAACGGAGACGTCAGCTCTTATTTAATTACGCTCGTAACTATAAAAATCAATCTTATCGACGTAGCGCGGAGTGATTTCGCAATCACGTATTAATCTAATTCGCGATCTGTTTTATTAACCATTTCCGTCGGGGAAACGAAATGCAGTTCGGTTTGGTTTCTTTTTTTCTCGTTTTTTTTTTTTTTTTTTTTTTTTTTTTTTTTTTTTTTTTTTTTTTTTTTTTAGTTCGGATTTTACTTCTGACATTCACACCTTTACTACTTGCTATCCCGATGTAACGATCGCTATTGATGTGCAAGTGTAAAAATAAAATTGCACGACATAAAAGTCTCGGAAAGCCTGTTCCGTGTCGTCGTTTCGGGAACAAACGCGCGTAATTGAATTTATACACATTACATATATATATATATGTATATATAAATATATGTAGCGAACGAAACGGATTGTCGTTTCCGGCAGCACCTTATATTATTCGCTTCAATTTTACAAACAATATATAGAACGGAAATGAATAATTTAAATATTGCGACGCGCGTTTTAATTCACTTTACGTCTCGAGATTTTCCCACGGAAGACGTCAAAGCGAAGTTTTCCGCTTTTCTTGTTTAAACTTTTTCAAATTCCCGTTTAATTGCGATGTTTTATATTTGTTCTGCTTGACGGTTTTTTTGCGAATTATTCTACTAAAGAGAATAACGAAACGTTTTACGATCGCCGTTTTAAAGCAACTCTCGGACAGGATATTGTTATCTCTTCGCATTATAAGTTGGACGGCAATCTCGGCAAGATACAAGCCGGATGATTCAATTTGACGAGTTTAAGGCGCGAGGAATCTACGATTCGTTTCCGAGCGACGACGTCGGATTCTCCCCTCAATGCGGTCTCCTCTCCGCCATTAAAACGCGATAAACCGACGATGGGATTTGGAAGCTCTTGACGTTCATCCACCCGATTTCTTCTCCTTTTTCTTCGCGATATTCTCCGACCGACTTGCACACGCGTGACATGCAGTCTGAAATCACTGTGAGAAAGAAAGCTGGTTTCCTCGCCACCTTGGAGAAATCACGTTCCATATATCGTACGGGATGGGAAATAAAAACAGAATTGCAGCTGGCACATAATCGAGACAAACTTTAACAATCTCGCGCAAAAAAAAACAAATAATTTCGTTGAAACAACTTAAGAATCGATATAAGCCCGACAAAGTCCCATTGAAGCATCTTTTAGAAAAAAAAAACTATTCCAACTACTTCTCGCGATTTCGCGAAATTAAACGTGGACGAGGAGAAAAATTAAGAGGACGAAATACGGAATAGTCGCAGAGAGAAAAGATCCCAGAGAGAGGAAAAAGAGAGCTATCGAATTCTCTCTCTCTCTCTCTCTCTCTCTCTCTCTCTCTCTCTCTCTCTCTCTCTCTCTCTCACTCGGGAAACGTATAATCCTGATTTTCGCGGCAATCCTTTATGTTCTTCATTCGACTCGAGCGGTCCTTCAAAAACGATAGATTCGTCCGCTCGGCCGTTCGATCGAGGAAAAAACGATTAAGTCGACGCGTTCGACTAGCGCGCAAACTCGAGCCTTCTTGAGCGATTGTCATTATCCGAACGATAGAGAGAATCGATTCGCTTGATTCGCATTTCTCAGAAAAAAACCACCTTCGTAATTCATCTTCGATTTTCCACCTTACCGTCTGGTTACTTCTTCTCGTCGAGGTTTTCTGGGAAATTGCGCAAAAGGACAAAAGAGGCGTGAGAAGGAGGACAGGGGTCGGGGATACACGTTCACACACAGGGCGCGCCGTTGCATCGCTCTTCTCAACATCAACCCCCGATTGATTGTCGGAAATATGCGCAAAAATTACGAACAATCGGGGAAAAAAAATCCATTTTGCATGAGTTTGCTTTGAATTTTATTTATCATTCCTTTGTGTTCCTTTGTGAAATAAAATACCCTTTTCGCGAAAACAAACATCGAGGACGTGAGGATGGAACGCGGTCTGCGTTTGCATTAACTGGCATTTGATATATCACACTTTTGCGTGTTATATATCTGATTAATTTCTCTCCGGTGAAATCACATTAACGTGTGACATTTCAATGTTTGTGAAATGCATAACGCTGTGCGACTCCGCGCGATAATGTTAAGTTAAACGAAGAGGTTATCGAATGATCTCGCGACGTTGTTGCCGTCATTCGCGATTGATCGACGCGCGCAAAATAACGAAAGAACAATAGCAAAAATCGATTTCGCGCGAATTGAATTTATATATATATATATATTTTTGTTTTATTTATATATTACTTCTTTGAAATAAAAATATCTTTTTTGAGAGCGCGCGAGAGCAAACCACGTAAGATGGCGGAAACACAGTCTGCGTCCCATCGATTGATATGTTTCACTTTCGCAATAATTAATTAGTAGTTCACATCCAATTAATTTTCTCCCGTGCAATTTCAATGTGAAGTGCTTTTTATATATGCGCGATGATGGTAAATAAAGAAGCCATATCAGATGATCTCGCGGCGCGCCCTGCATGGTTTTTTTTTTTTATATTACAAATATATATATATATGTACACACATATATACGGATGTATATATATACAGACACTGTAAGAAAAACACGCTTGCCAGATGCAAGTTACCGGTTGCTCGGCGGTCATAAGTACCTATTAAAGGGACAGCGTCCGAAGTCGTCGGCATGCTTTCTGCCACGAGGTTCAGGAAAACTGTCAGCGACAGCAGAATGGTCACTCCTGCGGACGGACAGGTCGAAAAAAGATTACACATCATCACGTGTTGCGTGTCCCGCAAAACGCGTGCGGGCTTATAACGTGTGTCTATAACCTGTTTCTTTTTTTGTTTTTGTTTCTTTTTTTTTGGGGGGGGGGAGGATGGGGGAGATTTAAGACACACCCAGAGAGCGGACTTACATTGTATTGTAAAATCGTCTCACGTCCAACACGAGCGAGTAAAAAATTGAGATACAAAATCGCTCGGACTGTTTTCTCCGGAATGATTTCTCCGAACAAAACGTGTGTGTGGCGGAATCACACGCGAGAAATCCAAAGATTCTCGAGGAGACCTTCGAGTTTAACGCGTGTGGTGATTTTCCTGTGAAGCTTCAAAATATTCCGATACCCGCGATCAAAATCTGCCGATTTTGACGACGCCCCAATTCCAAATTCGAGACGCGATCTCGCGTGGAGATTGCTTTTGTCGCAAAAAAAAAAAAGAAAAAAAAAGAAAAGAAAAACTAAACATCATGAGACTGGGACGATTCGAGATCTAACAGAACGTCGTCGAGTTGTGAGTGAAACTCTCTCGACTCGCACTCTTTGCAAATACCTCTAATGTCATGCGAGAAATTGTTGCTTACCACTTTTCCCGATGAGAGCGTTCTCATTTGTTGCGACAAACATCGTCGGTATTAGATTCGACGTAATATATAATATATATATACACACACACACACACACACACATTTCTACGAGCTACCATATTTACAAAACATCACGGAAGAACGTCGAACAATCTACTGCGTGCGAGAGAATGATTTATGGGCGATGAGAATTACCCGCCTAGGCGACGATGTGATATTAATGACAACGACCATGAGAGAGAAAACGATCCGACGGAATCCTCGCGATGGTCGCGCGCGCGCGCGCGCGCACACGTCCCGCATATTCTAGGGAAGACACACAAGGGGGTACGGTTTGAACTCTCGCTTGATTGAGTGTGGACAACCGCGAATAATCGAGTGTTAAATCTCATCATAGAAGTAGAATCCACTTGTCCCCAATGAGATTCTCAAGGGTGGGATTAGCTGGCAAAGTTCGGAACGTGTAACAGACACTGTGCGCGGCTCAGCGCGGGGGGGAAAGGGAGGAAGAGAGGAGGAGGACGCGAAGGGAAAGGAGTGTGGAGCAGCCGCAGCGTTAGACCGACTTTGGCGAACCCGGACTAAGTCGCCCGGGCAACTCCATTACCGCGTCGCAGCCTTCGAAGTGACCGGCAAAATTCGATTATCTTAATGCCCGTCCCGGAATCGGAAACTTGCGCCATTGGCAATACCCCCCCTTTCCTGCCCGTCGAATGAGACGGACGGTTGTTTGACCGCAACCGATCGAGCTGCCGCGCGCGAGAGTTTGCGAATTGTCACTCACTGAATCTATATATACCACATCCAGGGAATGAAACGCCTCTTGATGGAGTCGTGTTCAGGGTGCCGCGCGCGCCAACATTTCTATGTGCGATTGAAAGGGTCGTTTAGTAGAGTCCCTCTGTGCGGGAGGAAGCAAGAACGAAAGCTTGGTAAATGTAGCTTGTTTGTGCACAGCGGCGCAACCTTGTGCGAGCGATTATTAATTGCATATCGCTCATCTCTCGCATTCACTCCCGCAATGATAACGCGAGGGACGCGCGGGAAATTGTGCTTAATTTTCCGTGAGTAAAGCCAACAAGCCGTGGCGTCGCGAATTTACTCGCCAAGTTTGGGGGAAGCATTACGACGTGGAAGCGCGCGAGAAGGGACTTGACAATGAGTCATTAAGGTTGATGCATGTATACGTTGGTTAAGTTGCCTGAAACTCCAACGGAGTGCGGCAGTGGACTTTCTCTCTCTCTCTCCCTCTCTCTCTCTCTCTCTCTCTCTTTCTCGTCGAACAAATTGTCGTTGCCGTTAAATTGCCGCGCACGGATCAGAAAGTACTACGAAGAGACCTCTGTCCGTCGATGCTTCCGGAGGAACGGATATCACGTGTGTCGCGGCAATCGACACACGAGACGAGATTCATTAGCGGGAAGCGCGCTCGTGCGGATGCATCTCGAGCAAAATTGCCGGGCAAATATAAATTTATGTCGAATTTAATTACGCGAGTGTCAACACGCGAATGTCGATCTCGGTTTGGCGAAGAAGCAATTTCTCTCGGAATAATGAAAAAGAAACACATGATGAAGTGAAACGTTTCTTTGATTAATCTGCTGTAATTGATTGATTGATTTTTTTTTTTTTTTTGGCTCAAAATAACGCCTCGCGGTCTTTAATTTGTTTGAAGCTTCGCTGAAACGCGATCGTGCACAGATCGCGTGAGAGAGTATCGCGCAGATATTTCGATGAGAGATCGACAGGCGTGACCACGACAAGGTGCGTTCGCGGTGGGTGGCAAACCGCCAATAACATCGGGAATTGCCGGTCAGCGGGGGAAGGTGCGGGGCCCGAGGAAAGCTGACCAATTAGTTCCTTGCTATTAGATCCAAGTTGCGAGCTGGAACATCTGGGATCGATGTGTACTTTGTCTTTTTTTTTTTTTTTTTTTTTTTTTTTTTTCAAGTCGCGTGTGTTCGGGATATCGTTGAGAAACGTCGTCATTCTCTTTCTTTCTTATTTACACTCGAGTCTTACTTACGTCGTCATTTGCAACGCGACGTTGTCCCTTCGCGTTGGAAATGAAAAGCGGCGCGCGCGCGGCCACCCACGCCACGTCTTTTGTCATGATAATACGACAAAAACGTAACTCCGGGCGAAGCGGAGCAGCGCGCGCGTATTTTCTCCGTATTTATTCGGTTTTAAATGAAATACGCGGCCGCAATGTACCTCTCGGTCGAAATTTATGGCGGCTTGATGTTATGCAAATTTAGTTCGCGCGCATTTTTAAACACAATCGAGCGTAGTTTGGCGCGACATTGTTGTCCACGCGGATTTTAGGCGCGGATGCTGTAGGCCGCGCATAATTTCCGTCGACGTCAGACACAATTCGAAAAAATCAAACACACGTGTTTTTTTTTTTTCCCCCGACACCCGCTACAAATATAGAAAGTTATATTAAGTTTAAAAAGGTAACGTCAAAAAAAAAACTGTTTTCTCTTAGAAAGTCAATACTTTTCATTGATGTGACCGATAAAAACAAATTGATCACTAAAACGGTGGATTGGAAACACTTAAAATTGGTTTTACATTAATTTTTACATTAATCGGAATTATGAATTTTACATGGAATACTTTATGCACCTAACTGTTGAAGTGTTTGTACAATTCTAGTTAGAAAGTGTAAAGAGAGAGAACATTTCGCCGATTATATCCGAGAGGAATTATTAATTTTACACACATTTATTGGTACGTAAAATGTGACCTTTGAAGTGTTCGCGAATTAATTACGTGGGGAGAGTTGCAAACACATTTTGTCAAATGTTCGAAATGATTGATCGAACAATCTCTCTTTGTGCGGTATAAACTGGTAAAAAGCTTTACACCAATTTCTAACTTCAGAGAACGGTTTCAAACGGTTATGTCGTTCGTGTGAAAAATCGAAACTTTGATTTTTTTTTTTTTTTTTTTTTTTTTTAACAGACGTTTTCGACGTTCGTACAAGTAACTGGATTTACATTCTTGGATATATTTGGTTACACAAGTGTGTCGTACGAGAAAAAAAAAACATCGCAAAGACTCTGGTTCTACTAACGTTTGAAAATTCTCAGTGAAACTACAAGGTGTATCGACGTTTTCGAGATAAATGTTCGACGTGACCCGCCGAAAGTTTCCAAGTGTCTGATCCTCGCGTGTGTGATCGTTGCGAGGAAAAGTTTCGTCAGACGTTAGACGCGCGGAAGAGATACCGATGGGCTTTGTCAATGATTAATTACAAAATTGGAGGAGATGGATGCCCCGGAAGCGGAGAAAACACGATGGAGTTCGGGGCAACAAGAAAAGCCACTTTTTCATCAATCGAATTTTTCACAACGAAAATCTTCAAAGCTGTGCGGAATTTTATCGATCGCTCGTGACAGTACATCATCATTAAGCGGTGACGAAGTTGTGACAAAGATGCACGAGAAAATTATGTGCGGGTTTATTTACGTTTGCACAAATGTTTCTTTTTCGCCTACCGGTGTTTACTTAGAGATACTTAAAAGGTTGTTTGAAGAACAAGTCACAAGTTACGTAAAAAACCACGTGACGTCTTGTGTCGTTGATAAAAATCTCTTTTCGAGACCGAAGAAAAGATTCCATTTCGTCCACTTTGCCGAAACGCAGTAACAAGAGAACACAAGGTTCTTGCGTGTTAAGTGGTGACTGTATCTTCTATATCCGGGGGTTTTTGAAACACACACTCACAAAGAAAACACGTCAAAGAAACGCCACAACGACGTGAAAAACAACAATGAGCGGGAGAGAAAGAGTCGGCGAAGACAAAAGGAAATTCGAAGACGAAACAGAAACAATGGGACAGAAGTGGGGAAATGAGGTAAAGTGCAATGCGAAAAGATGCCTTTTGGTGGCGGTTTTCTGTATCGTAAAATCTGTCAGTAGATTTTGCCGCGCGCCGGCTTCTCCCGGCGCTACCGGTTCGTGAGCACTCGAGAGATTTTGCAACAACCGGTGGGGATTTTGATCCACACCGGTTTCACAAAGCCGGTTTGATAGACGCGCTACCAAAATTGAGCAGATTTTCCATCTAAACTTTTGCAACTGGGTCGCGAACTAGATTGATGCCTCATCGCCTCTTTCGAGTGGCGCGATATTGCCCGCCACGTTGCATGAATTTTCACACACCGGATGTGTGTGTGTGTGTATGTGTTGTAACATTTCGACAACATTTTCAGCGAAGCACCTCTCAAGTCCGAAATGGAATTAGCAGTTTATTACAGTGCGGATAGGATTAATAAATTGAAGAGAGTTAATGAACGCGCGCGCGCGCGCGTTAGAAGAAACGGAGGAAGAGAGATTTTTGCACCGGAATTTTTTGCGCGAAAATTC